TTTATTTCTGTTTTGATTTCTTGAATGACCCAGTGTTCATTCAGGAGCATGTTGTTCAGTCTCCATGTGTTTGCATACTTTCTGGGGTTTCCTGAGTTGCTAATTTCTGGCTTCATTCCGCAGTGGTCTGAGAAGCTGCATGGTATGATTCTAATTCTTTTAAATTTGCTGAGACTTGCTTTATGGCCTAGTATGTGATCAATCCTAGAGAAGGTACCATGCACTGCTGAGAAGAATATGAAGTCTGTAGATGTAGGGTTGAAAGTTCTGTAGATATCTGTTAGATCCATTTGGGCAATAGTGTCAATTAAATCTGCTGTTTCCTTGTTGATCTTCTGTCCAGATGATCTGTCTATTTCTGAGAGTGGAGTATTAAAGTCCCCCAGTATTATTGTATTGGGGTCTAAGTCTCCCTTTAAGTCCCTTAACAAATCTTTTAAATAGACCGGTGCCCTGTAATTATGTGCATATACATTTATAATAGTTACATCTTCCTGTTGAATTGAACCCTTAATCATTATATAGTGTCCCTCTTTGTCTCTCCTAACAGTTTTTGTATTAAAATTTATTTTGTCCGATATTAATATGGCTACACCTGCTTTTTTTTGGTTTCTGTTGGCATGGAATATCTTTTTCCAACCTTTCACTTTCAGTCTGCATGCCTCTTTGTTAGAGAGATGTGTTTCTTGTAGGCAACAAATAGTTGGGTTGTGTTCTTTGAGCCAGTCAGCCAAATGGTGTCTTTTAACTGAAGAATTCAGACCATTAATGTTCAATGTGACTATTGATACATAGTGACTTTGCCCTGCCATTTTCCCGGAAATATTTTCTAGTATATGCTTTGACCTTCCCATGCTCTTTTATTGGTAGGTGTTCTTCCTTTCCCTTCTTTCATATTGATGGCTGTATTTCTGTGTTTCTGAGTGTAGCACATCTTTAAGTATCTTTTGCAGGGCCGGACGAGTGGCCACAAAGTCTTTCAATTTCTGTTTGCTATGAAAGGTCTTTATTTCACCTTCATTCACAAATGAGAGCTTGGCAGGATATAATATTCTGGGCTGGCAACTTTTCTCTCTTAGCACCTGTGCTATGTCTCGCCATTCCCTCCTAGCCTGTGGTGTTTCTGATGAGAAGTCTGCTGTGAGTCTGATTGGAGATCCTCTGAGAGTAATCTGACGTTTCTCTCTTGCACATTTTAGGATCTTTTCTTTATGTTTCACTGTGGTAAGTTTAATTACCACGTGTCGTGGTGAGGATCTCTTTTGGTCATGTTTATTGGGGGTTCTATGAGCTTCCTGTACTAGGATGTCTCTGTCCTTCTCCAAACCTGGAAAGTTCTCTGCTAGTATCTCACTAAAAAGGCCTTCTAATCCTTTCTCTCTCTCCATGCCTTCAGGAACTCCTAGAACTCGAATGTTGGTTTTTTTAATAGTATCCTGTAGATTCCCAACAATATTTTTTAGATTTCTAATTTCCTCTTCTTTTCTTTGGTTTGACTGTATGTTTTCCTGTGCTCTATCTTCTAAGTCCATTATTCTCTCTTCTGCTTCACCCATTCTGTTTTTAAGGCTTTCTAATGTGTTTGTCATTTGATCTATTGAGCTCTTCATTTCATTTTGATTTCTCTTCACTATCACACTTTCCTGTTCTACTAGTTTCTGAGTTTCATTTTGATTCTTCCTTAAAATTTCATTTTCACGAGAGAGATTTTCAATCTTGTCCAATAAGGATTTCTGTAGTTCAAGGATTTGCTTTTGAAAACTTCTAAATGTTCTTATCATAAATTTTTTGAAATCCGTATCTTGCATTTCTTCTATCTCATCATCTTCATAATCTTGGTTTGGGGTGTTTTGTTTATTTGGAGGCATCATAGTGTCATCGTTGGTCTTGTTCCCTCGATTTCTGCGTTTGTTGCTTGGCATAGTTAATTCTTCTTTCGTCACTGTGCGTTTTTTTTTTAATTTTTTTTTTATACTATGTCCGTGTTAAGTGGACTGCCTGCTGTTGGGGGAGCCTTGGAGGCTTGAGATGGGTGCGGCCTGAGAGCTCTGCTTGGTTCTTCCTGGTTAAGGGTGTGCAAAGGTGACACCCTCAGGTTATGCGTGGTAAATCTCTTTTTATTTATTTATTTATTTATTTTATTTTATTTATTCAGGGGGTAAGTAACACCGCACAGCACGGCTGTGCAGAATTGATGGTATTTAGCTTCCAGTCTCTGGCTTCTACCCAAAGAGTCTGTGTAGGCTCCTCTGGACTCCCACTGGGTTGCCTAGGCTACTGAATTGTAGTGACTCAGTTCCTTAGCTCTCCCCTGTTGATATGTATCTCCAGAGAGGGGGCCTGCTCTTTGTCTCTTGCGAATTCTTCAAGCCTTGCAGCCTTGCAACCTTTGCAAGGTTAGGGGAAAGAGAAACCCCCAAGCTTTTTTTTTTTTTCCTTCTTTCCGGTAGTGAGTTTGCTGCACTTTCCGGCCCCCCTCTAGATTCTGACCCCCGTTTCCCCGCCAATGTCTCGGGTTATTGAGCTCACCTCCCCTTCCAGCGCTGATGTGTGGACTCGGAGCCCTGGACGTCGCAACTCTCCCCGCTGTTGTCTGTGTGACATGCACTCCCCTTCCTGCACTGGCGCGCAGACCCTGCGGCTTCTGCGGCACCCACGGCTCCTGCAGCACCCGCGGCTCCCGCGGCTCGGCTTCCACGCGGTGGGTGACCTTGTTCTCCCAGTAGGTCCTCCGATTCACAGCCACTCGATCTAGTGTTACCATTTTGATAGGCAACTTTATGGCATGTACAGAGCAACAAAGTTGCTATTAACCATCTATAACAATTAATTCTAGCCCTGGAGAATTAGTTTGTTCCTTCCAGAGCAAGCAGCTTCCAGAAGGAATCAACTAACACCTTGATTTCAGACTTCTGGTCCCCTGAACTGTGAAAGAATAAATGTTTGTTGTCTTACGTCACCTGTTTGGAGTTACCTGTAGTTAGAGTTGTGGAAGATAAAAAAAATACACTGGGAAATATTGGCATGTAAGTCCTAAGGAAGTAGGGCACACTGTAAGAAAATATCATGCATTCATGGCTTATGGTAAAACAAACCACATTAAAATAAAAATGCAAGTTTATTTATTCAATTACCTTTAAATATAATTAGACTCCTAATACCTCAGTCACAGAATTGATAAGCAATCTCAATGGGTTATGAGAGTAAAACGCTGAGCCTAGTACAGAAACTGTTTTACTCTCTTGTTACCCATCTGTATTGTCTTTTCCTGAGAATTTATTATAAATACATCTGTCATAAAATCCGTCTGTTCATATCCACATTAAATATTTAGATGTGCAGATGTGCAAAAAAAAACAGTATTATTCTGAATGAAATTTTAAAACAACAGGAGACTTACTTGTCCAAGGTAAAAACTGTGTCATCTCACTAAACTGAAAGCAATTACCACCTATGGTAATATAAACTGATCCAAAACATTTCTTTCTATATGCCACATTGAATCTTTGACAATATTTACTAAATTCTACAAAGATATATAATGAATAAAATAGCTAAATTTTACATGAGAGAAAAATACAATGGTTTAAATATGACATGTATAGCTTTCTCTCTGTGTTTTCTGTTCTCTAATATTGAGAGAATGTGGAGGGATTGACCTAGTTTCTTTATCTATAGTTGCATAACATTTCCAAAGACTCATTTATTCACTCAGCAATTAATTTTAATCCACATTATACTCTACACATCTTATTGTGTTATGGGTTGTAAAGTGAGAAATTCTGTGGCGGATGCTGGGGAAAGAGTTCTGACATCTCTCCAGCTGTGAGCACAGTGAGTCAGCGGAGCTTTTTGATTCTAGCATTTCATCAATCTGGTAGTGACGAAAAAGAAACAATTTTGAGTACTCTAACATTGCAGCAGGTATGCAACAGTTCTCAGTGTGCTAAAAACACACCTCACCTTTGCATAGTGGAGAACCTCATTTAGAAAGGACCCCAGCTGCCCAATATCTATGTTCCTTTCAACAGTTGTCCAAACATGATTGTATCTAGGGAACATATCATTGTCATTACATTGTACTTTATTACTGGGTCTCTGATGACTGTCTTATAATATAATTTAGTATCACTGACACATTATACTTGTAAGAGAACATCTTTCCCAGAGTACCTCAGATCTTGTTGCTTTAAGAGAATTATGATAATGGTTCCATTTCTTTTTTTATTTTAATGATTTAGTAAAGTGACCGAATCTGGTAGACTTTTGGGGGTATACGCATGATGTTTTTGTCAAACTGTACTATTTGTGAATGGACTGCCTTGCAATATGAATGTTAATGTAATGTGTAAAGGGAGATCAAACAGTTTGACTGATTATCAAAAAAAAGGTGATGAAACGTGGCTTTGGCCTGGCCCAACCCTGGCTGTTGTGGAAATCCAGGGAATGAGCCAGCAGATGGCATATCTCTCTTGCTCTCTCTTTCTATCCCTCTCTGCAACTCTGGCTCAAACAAATAAATATTTTAAAAAGAAAAAAAATCACAGAAAATATTAATGTGTGTTAGTCACCTGAAATAATTATTTTTTGTGGGAAATAGTATCCATCACCATTTTGAGATAGAGTCAAGTTAATTTGATTCAGTGTTTTTTAAAAATTTTGAGTTTTTTTATTGTCATTTACTATTATAATATATTATTGTCATATACTATTAAGAATATAAACACATGATTCCAAAATTCAAGATTTATTTACAAGATATTGTCTAAAAAGTTATTCATTCACATCTTCCATACCTCCTTTCAAGCCAAGAAAACTTTGTACATTGTGTAGATTCTATATAAACATTTTCAATTAATTAGTTTCTAAATGTGTACAAAGGATCACATTGTTTGAAGGTCATACATATTCTAATCTGCCTATTGGTCACAGATCTCAGTGATAGAGGAAGGAGAAGAACCCAGGAAAAATCAAAAAACTGTGGCACCTAGACAAAATGATTCAAATTTATTTGAATAAGCTTTAAGAATCTGGAGCACTTAAGACTTCAGTCATCAGAGATTGACACCATCTTTCTTTTTTTCTGTGTTTTATTTGGTAAAATGTTTATTTTTTTTCATATACTTTAAAAGAAGAGAGAGAGAGAGAGATCTTCCATCTGCTGGTTCACTCCTTAAATACCTGCAACAACCAGGACCCATCCAGATAAAAATCAGGAGCTCAAAACTCCACCCAGGTCTCCCAGGTGCAGGGGCCCAAGCACTTAAGCCATCACTGCATCAGCTGGAAGCTGAATCAGAAGCAGAGGAGCCAGTGCTTCCACCAGCCCCTCTCTTAGGAAGCGCAGACACCACTAGCAGCAGCTTAACCCACTGCAACACAGCGTCCACCCCTCTGCGTTTTCTTAATTTCTTCTTCCTATTCTTATTGCCACCTTATCAAATCCTTCATTATTTCTTAAAGATTTTATTTATTTATTTGGAGAAAGAGAGTTACAGACAGTGAGAGGGAGAGACAGAGAGAAAAGTCTTCCTTCCACTGGTTAATGCCCCAAACAGCTGCAACAGCCAGAGCTGTGCCGATCCAAAGCCAGTAGACAGGAGCTTCTTCCCAGGTCTCCCACGCGGGTACAAGGGTCCAAGGACTTGGGCCATCTTCTACTGCTTTTCTAGGCCATTGCAGAGAGCTGGATTGGAAGAGGAGCAGCCGGGACTAGAACTGGCACCCATATGGGATGCCAGTGCCCCAGGTGGAGAATTAACCCACTGTGCCACTGCACCAGCTCCAAGTCCTTCGTTATTGATATAGCATATGTTTGAGTCTTTGGAGTAATATGCTTAAAATAAATTGATATATTTACTACAAATAATATTGTATAGGACATGACACTTCAAAAATACATGTGTTAGGTAAATAAATGACTTCTTAAATAAGGTGATGAAAAATTATCTTGGCTTTTTTCATGATTCTAAAAATTTAATCTCCATATGCTGTCTTCTTACATATACAATGACTGTTCTCTTGACAGCTCCCATCAATTACTTGGCCATTTTTAATATACTTGCATTGATTATTGGGTGTGTTAGGTCTCTTTAATTGAAGCCTAGAAGAGAACAGAGTATCAACTGCAGATTCACATTTACTTCATAGATCAATGTCATTAAGTGGAAGTTATTGCACAATCATTAAAAATTGAAAGAAACATGCTTCTTTGGCATATTTGTTAACACATAAATAGTAGGGAATATTTGCTGATTTTAAAAGTTAAGGAAGGGGAGCCAGCGCTGTGACGCAGCAGATAAAGCCACTGTCTGCAGTGCCAGCATCCCATATGGGCACCAGTTTGAGTCCCAGCTGCTCCACTTCTGATCCAGCTCTGTGTTATGACCTGGGAAAGTAGTCGAAGATGGCTCAAGTCCTTGGGCCCCTGCACCCATGTGGGAGACCTGGGAAGAAGCTCCTAGCTCCTGGCTTCAAATCGGTGCTGCTCTGGTCATTGGGGACAATTGGATGTGAACCAGCAGATGGAAAACCTCTCTCTCTGCCTCTCCTTTTCTCTCTGTGTAACTCTGACTTTCAAATAAATAAATAAATCTTTTAAAAAAAAAAGTTAAGGAAGGAGATGGCAGGAAAGGAAGCCCCAAAACAGTATCTCTCCTCTAAGGCATTGACAAAGCTAAAAAACTCTCAAGCACAACTTGGCCAAAATTCTGGAGTCCAATTAAAAACTTAAAACAATTAGAAGAGGATTTAATAAAGAGAAAGAAGCTGCTGAACATGGATTTGAGAGCACTTGTTTCATTCAAACTTAACAGAAATAGAATGCTAAAAACATCTTCAGTCCAGATTATCCTTTAGGTGTGGTCAGGCAAAACATGTGAATTAACACTATAATTAGTATTCAAACAGTTCTTTATAATTTGTGGGTCCATGTGGGTGCAATCTGTTGAAATCTTTACTTAGTATATACTGAACTGATCTTCTGTATATAAAGATAATTAAAAATGAATCAATGAAGAATGGGATGGGAAAGGGAGTAGGAGATGGGATGGTTTGTGAGTGGGAGGGTGGTTATAGAGGGAAAAGCTGCTATAATCCAAAAGTTGTACTTTTGAAATTTATATAAATTAAATAAAAGTTTTAAAAAATAAATTATATTAATAATATAGGATTAACTTGCTACTGGGAGCTTTTTATTTTTATTGATTTATATGTTCACTCTCATTCATTTGAGAAGCAGAGAGACAGACAGAGCTTCCATCCACTGTATCACTCCCTGAATACCAGCAACAGCAAGTGCTGAGCCAGGTTGAAGCCAGGAGCCGGAAATCTAATCCACATCTCCACACGGGTGGCAGGAACCCATCACTAGAACCATCACCTCTACCACCTAGGGTCTGCATTAGTAGGTAGCTGGTGTTAAGAACCACAGTTGAAAATGAACCCAGGTATTCTGAGATGAGACCCTACTAAGCCAAATGCCCACTCCTGATTCATATTTTCATGAGGAAATCAGTGACATATTTATTAAAAGAGCAGTTCCCAAAAACTGGTCTCAGGACTCCTTTCAACACTTAAAACCATTGAGTAATCCCTAAAAATTTGCTTTTTATTATATGTTTTTCTACTTTGACTGTATCAAAATTAAAGCTGACATATTTTTAAGTGTTAACAGCTAAAACAAGAAATGTGTGGCCATGTAGTTGGAACATAAGAAAAATATTGGATAAATATCTGAAAATCACTTTTAAGATTTCAGTGTCATTAGATACAGCCTCCTATATCTTTTTTTAGAATCTCTTTCTTTAACATTTATTTATTTGAAAGGCAGACTTACAGAGAGGCAGAGGAGAGAGAGAAAGAGAGAGAGAAAGTGTTCCATCTGCTGGTTTACTCCCCAAATGGCCATAAGGCTGAAGCTGGGATGATCTGAAGCCAGGAGCCAGGAGCTTCTTCCAGGTCTCCCACGTGGGTGCAGGGGCCCAAGGACTTGGGCCATCTTCTAATATTTCCCAGGCCACAACAGAGAGCTGGATCGGAAGTGGAGCAGCATTGAATTGAATTGGCACCCATATGGGATGCCAGCAATGCAGGCGGCAGCTTCACCCACTATGTCATTAGCCGACCCTGCCCCCTATATCTCATAAGGACATTTATTGCTCTGTTGATCACCTAACAATTGCTATTTTAGCTATTTTATGTTTTACTGGTCTCTGGTAAATATTAAGTTTATAACCTTGTGCAAATTTAACAATTGAAGATTTATTCATGCAAAAATGCAAATAACAATGAAAATTTCTTATGATTAATATGAAATTTTTGAAATTGAGTGAACTTCTGAGCATGCTGCTAATATAATTTTATTTTACTATTATTCCACCTCATCCTTTTTGCTCTTGTTTATGATAGGATCATAAGCCATGGATTTAACAACTGATCACACATAATCAACTCAATATTGTTATCCTACAACTGGTACTCTAAGACAGTAGGAGGATACTTACTTGTCCAGAATAAAAGCTGAACCATCTAGCCACACCCATTTCATTTGGCTGCTATTGTAGTATAAACTGAACCCGAACTTGTCCTCATACAAAAAACACTGCTTCTTTGACATTCTTTTTACAAACTCCTGGACAAAATAAGAACAGAAAAAGTGAAATCTGACATCTTTTGTTGGCTATGCGTACAGAGATTAAGGGATTGTTCCGTAATAAGAGTTACTGAGAATTTTCATTTTGTCTGGAATTATATCACCATACTAAAAATGCTCTTGAGATTTCTTTGCCAACAACTAGTAACCAATTATATATTTATACAACAACCATTATGAAAGCATTGTGATATTCCAGGCATTGTGCTGGGCATTGAGTATTGAATTGAAAACAGACTTGCTTCCTGAGAATCCAAGAGCAAAGCAGTTAGGGGAGCAAATGTCACAGAGGAGACCAGTGCAGGATGAAATGCCAGGGCTCAGCCAGGGCTCACCAAGGACTCCTACAAGAGTCACGAGGTCCAAAGACTCTTTGCAGGGTGGACTGGTTCTATGACAAATGAGATGTATGAGAGAGGGTTTCACAGAAGTTGGAGGAGGAGTCAGACTGTCTGGAGCACACTGAATTACCCTTTGAGGAGATGTAAAGGGAACACGTGGAAGTGGGCGGGAGACTGGACGTGATGCACCGTCATTGGTAAGGAAGGAGACTGGAGACACAGGCAAGAGTTCAGCTGTGGCTCGGCCATGCAGAGCCCTGCCAGACTGGGGCCTTACACCAGGACCTGGGGCAGGTCTTACGAAACAGAGCAGCACAGCCTGATGGGTATATACAGTACCCTGCGTGGGCATGGTTATCTCAGAAGAGGGAAGGCATAGAATCCAGAGATGCTTCCTGGAGAAGTGTACTAAAATGTGGCCATACATACTTGTCCTTACCATCTCTCCTTCCGTGCTTATCTTAAGAAAACTTGAACGTAAAGGAGAACAGTGAAGTTCACAACTGCTCCACGGAATCTGCTCTCTAGAGAAAGAGTAGCAGTGCTTCCCGTGCTGCTGCCAGCCATCACCACAGGGCTGACATTTCCAAACTAAGGAAAAGAAGTTAGAAGATCCATAAATGTCTTGCATCACCATTTATAGTTTAAATTATCGGTGTTATAATCATGTTATTTAAAAAATAATATAATCATGTTATAATCATTAAGCAATACAAAAATTAGTTGTTAAAAATATATTCACACAATATGCTTCCTGTTAACTCATTTCAATAATGCTAACATATAAGTTGTGACAAAATAATTCCAATAGTACAATTGTTGCTATCAGGTAAGCACTACCGATAACTCAAAATTCAAGTGGATTTTTAGGGGACATGTTTCTGAATATCTAATACTCTGCCATATGTGTATATAATATTTAATGATTCATTCATTTATATTTTCATTAATTCTTTTACATGTAAAATAATGCACATATACTTATAGTTATTTTCTAACTCTTAAAAACCTCATGTTCTTGTTCTTAAATACCTTTACCTTTTGATGATGGCTGTGAAATTCCTTTCTGATCTGTTTCCTGACTGAAAATGAGATTTCTTGAATTTCTCTCTGCTACTAAGGAACAAATCACAAACATCAGTTTGCTTCACCACATTTAAACTAAATAAATTTGATACTACAAAAAACACAAAATTTGCACTGAGAGCATCAATAGTAACAACACATTATCAATAACTTCTTAATGGTACAATGCAACTGGAGAGAATATGCAAACAAATCTAATACAAGCCTAACAGGAAAATTAACATATTAGGTAACAGCATCAGTTATTGAGTATTTTATGCTGTTAAGGAAAAATAAGAACATTTCTCTGAAGTAGTTCTGATGTAACGTTAATTATGAAATACAGCCAATTGTTAAATCAAGAACGTGAGTCACTGTGCATCTACTCCCCATGTAGGATCTCTGTCCTTAATGTGATGTACTATGCCAATTAACAGTAAAACTACTACTCAAACAGTACTCTATGCTTTGTGTGTCTGTGAGGGCGCAAACTGTTGAAATCTTTACTTAGTATATACTATGTTGATCTTCTGTATATAAAGATAACTAAAAATGAATCTTGATGAAGAATGGGATGGGAGAGGGAGTGGGAGATGGGATGGTTGCAGGTGGGAGGGAGATTATGGGGGGAAAAGCCACTATAATTCAAAAGTTGTACTTTGGAAATTTATATTTATTAAATAAAAGTTGAAAAAATGAAATACAGCCTGACAGGTAGAAAAATGAAAGATATTCCATGTAGGAGTAGGCATTTAGCTTAGCATTTAAGTTGCCAGCATCCCATACCATAGTGGCTAGGTTTGATTCAGCTCCAATTCCTGACACCAGCTTCCTGCTAAAGCTCATGAAGAGGTGGTAGAAAGGTCCAGTTGCTTGGTCCCCGTCACTCATGGGGAAACCCTGATGGAGGTCCTGGATCCTGGCCTCGGCTGGGCCCAGACCTGCCTGTTGCTGCCATTTGGGGAATGAATCAGCAGATAAGAGCTTACTTTCTGTCTCTCATGTCTTATCCTCTGACCCTCATATTTAAAAAATAATAAAAATACATAGGGGCCTGGATTGTTGTCCAGAGGGTTAGGTTGCCATGTGGGTGCAGGGGCCCAAATACTTGGGCCATCTTCTGCTGCTTTCCCAGGCACATTAGCAGGGAGCTGGATCACAAGTGGAACCTCTGGGACTCGACTGGCACCCATATGGGATTCCAGCACTTCAGGCAGAGACTTAGCCATCTATGCCCCAATGGATGACCTTTAAGAGATTTCTTTCTGTTAAAACAATGAACAAGTCAACTTTTTCTACCATAGAAACTTACACTTTGCAGCTAAGATTCCAACAGAGAAAAGGAGGCCAAGGCAGATGAGACATAAAACCACTGCAATTAATTTCCATGGTGACAATGGGGCAGAAAAACCTATCAGAAAAAGATAGTTATTCAATATGATCTTCTGTGGTCTATTCAGTTTTTTAATTGTTTCATACTCAAATTCCAAAGAGATATATAGGTGTTACCTGATGGCTGTATAATTTTACACATCTGCACAATCGTTGCATAAGACTGTTCAGGAGTTAATGGTCTTAATGTAAATTTAACTATGAAATATCGTTCCTTTTCAAAACAAAATACTTAAAAGTTGCATGGAATTACTTTTAAAATTTTATGAATGATAAAAAATACAAATCTTAACACTAACTAGTCCACTTGGAAACCATATTACCATCATTTTGCTTTATTACCTTTACTATGTCAATTTTCCATAATTGAAATACATTTTGATGACGTCACAGATCATTAACTTTATTTAAAGTGTCTATATAATGGCTTCCAGTTGTAATGAGTCAGTCTCAAAAGCACAAATATCATATAATTTCCCTGATCTGTGGTAACTAATAGAGTACAAAAAATGTGATGTATGGGAACAAAATGGACATTTTGAGATTTGATGATTGTTTACGACCCTTGTCTTTACTGTTAAGGAATAGTGGCTTTTTTTTCTTCTTACTATCTGTTGAGTTGTTTTCTTAGTGGAGGGTTAAGCTTATGATTATAAAATAAACTGAAACTGTATTAGTGTAAAAATTAAAAGAAAGAATAAGAAAGGAAGGAGGAGGAAGGATAGGAGCATGGGCGGAAGGGGGGGGGGGTGGGCAGTACCACTGTGCTCCCAGATCTGTATATATCAAATACACAAAGTTGGTTCATCATACATAAATAAAAAATGTGTCTGGAAATTGACAGGAAAATGTTCACACTTACTTGGCTATTCTGCATTTTTGTATGCTTATGAGTCCCAATTTTTATAGTAAGAAAATATCAAAATAAAAAGTTTTGCCATCATCTGTTACTTTAAAGGTTGAAGTCTAAAATTTTTATAAACTTGTGAAATTTTAATTGAAGTTTGAAACTTTACAGCAAATACTGATATTGCAGTGTTGCTTTTCAATCTCTTCATCAACTGTTTTTGAACTTTTTCTTTAGTTTTATATTAACTGTTTGGACGTTCTCTGTGAATAATCTGCTGACTTTTTACTGGAGGTAAGCTACAAACATTGGTATTGATGAGGTTATCATGTATTCAATATATCAATCCCTTCTAAATATTCCTGTATTCCTTTATCCATTTGCATATTCTTCTTTTTAAAAGTTTGTTATAAAATTTTAAGTATTTTTAATAAGGCAAATATTACTATATAGTCTATTCATCACACTCTGCTTACACTGAGAAATCTATCACCTAGCACATTGTTTAATTCCCTTTTTGCATCTAACTCCTTCTACTTATTTTAAAAGCCACTCCATGTCTCTGTGACCTGAAATCTATTCAAGTCAAAACAAGAAAATTAATAAGCAAACAACTTCTTTTCTCCCTATTTTCTTTTCTAGCTTTAAAATTCTCTCTCACACACACTATTCTTTATAAACTGTTGAAAGAATGGTTTAAATCTTCTGTCTCTTATTCCCGAGTTCCTTTGTTCCATTCATCACTCACATTCTTCCAAACTTCCAAACAGTTCAATGAATATTTTCCAATATTGATCATTTGGGAAGTCACAAAACAAGTCTTAATAAATTTAAAAGAAAAGAAATCATATTGAGTACCTTTTCTCACCACAGTGCAATAAAACTAGAAATAAGTAAGAAAAATATAACATACAAGAAAACATAAAATAAAGCAACTTATTTCTGAATAACCAATGGATCAAGGAGGAAATTCAGAAAAGATGAAAAATTTCTTGAAATGAAGTAAAATGAAACACAACATGTCATTATCTATGGGCTACAGAAAAAGCAGTACCAAGATGGAATTTTATAGCGTTCAATGACTGCATCAAAAAAAATAATAAAAGGAACAGAAAGACCTCAAATAAACAACTTACTGCTGAACCTCGAAGAACCAGAAAAATAAGAATGAATCAAACACAAAACTGGTCAAAGGAAAGAAATAAAAAACTTATAAAAAATAAATAATACAGAGACTTTACAAAAAAACAATAAAACAAGACGTGATTCTCTGACAAGATAAATAAAACTGACAAATCCTTAGCAAGACTAACCAAGGAAAAAAAAGCCAAGTTTCAAATCCATGTAAGTAGACAAAAATCAGTAGCACTGATACACAGCATATAGTAAATCATCTGAAAAAGTCCATTTGTAATACCCACAGGAAAAATAAAACCACCCCATTTTGAATCCTATTTGTATCACTATTGAAATTGTTCTTAAAAGTAGTTGTCAATCTATCTACAGCAATCTTGTTTATGTGGTTACTATTTGACATGACTCATTTTCCCCACTTGAAATCCCTTTTGCCTGATTATTCTTTTACTTTTCAGATTCTCAGAGCAGAAGCAGTGAAAACCATGGTCAGAGGACAGACATTTTTGCCCTTTATATTTTAGTCTACCATTCAGCTTCCACCGTGATTTAAATAATGCGGGGGCAGGCTCCATGTATTAACATCCAAATATTCCTTCCTTTATCAGCCAGCCTCACGTCATACATCATTTCTCCCCTACTCAAGTGCTATTGTTGTGCTGAATTTTGAGGGTGATAAATCAGGACAGCGATGTCTCACGTTTTGGCTCTTTAAAGACTGCTTCCAGGATCCACTGGTAAACAGTACACAAAGTCTACCAGACTCAGAACCATGCTCTCTGCCCAAACTAGAGAATTTTGTACAACGCGCTTTTCCAATGAGAAGACTGGACTATTTCGACAAGTGTTTCCATCTGGGATCAAATATGTAAAGAGTTTAAGATTATCATGGGATATTGAATGTGAGAGTACTCTGATTCATTGTGAAATCCCTTAATACAGTAGTAAATGACTGAATTTATATGAAAAACAAAGATGAAAGAATGACAGGAAGTAGGAGCAGAATAGTGATGACAAATATCTTGCCTAGACTGTAGCAAATTCTCAGTGTATATTCAATAACCTCATGGACAGAAAAAGAAAAATGAAAGCCAAGTATCTAAAGAAAAAAAAAAAAAAACAAAACAAAATCAAGGTGACACTAATGATACTGAGTGAGGGTTAAACAATCGTGGCATTTTTCCATTGCCAAAAAGAGATCATTGTTTTTCTATCATGTGGATGCTGGAAAATAATTTAGGACAATAATTATTCTCCCCAAAATAGTGAATTGACTGTCTCTAAACCTGGAGACTGAGCCAGAAAGCTTGGGAGTTTTCTATTATTTTTCATATGCTGTTTTGATTTTGAGACATATTTACAATATTCTCTTTCATTGTGGTTTTTGTTTGCTTTATGACCTCTTTCTTTAGAAGGGCCTCTAATGAATTTCTGTTGTATTCCAAAAAGCTAGGAGAATATTTAGCAAAAATAAATATTCAATGCTTATTTGTGGAGTGAATGAATAAATAGAAATTCACTAGCATGATAGAAAACACCTAAGTTATTGAAACCCTGCAGTGAGGTTAATCCATGCATTTTTAATAATTTCTAAAGGTAGTACTAAAATAGAGACATCATATATTGAAGAGTTTCTAGACTGATAGGACAGCAATAACATAAGTTCTTATGGCTACAGTAATGATGTTCTTAACTAGTTTATCCTATTGGGAAACGTACATGGCTATAAAGGGGATGGGTCTGTGTGGAGCTGGTGTTGTGATGCATCAGGTTAGGCCTCTGTTTTTGTTTTTTTTTTTTCTTTTTTAAAAAACAGATTTATTTTATTTATTTGAAAGACAGAGTTACAGAGAGAGAGACAAGGAGGGAAGGAGGGAGAGAGAGATATCTTCCATCCACTTCTTTACTCCCCAAATGGTCACAATGGCTGGAGCTGGGCTGGTCTGAAGCCAGGAGCCAAGAGCATCTTCCATGTCTCCCACAGGGATGCAGGGACCCAAGGATATCTGATGCTTTCCCAGGCACGTTAGCAGGGAGCTGGATCAGAAGTGGAGCAGCCATGACTCAAACCAGTGTCTATATGGGATGTCGGCACTGCTGGCTAGGACTTTAACCCACTGCACCATAGCACCAACCCCTAAGCCTTTGTTTTCAATGTTGGCATTCCATATCGAAGTGCCAGTTCAAGTCCCAGATGCTTGGCTTCTGATCCAGCTTCTTGCTAATAAATCTAGGAAGGCAATGGATGATGGGCCCCTGCCACCCATGTAGGAGAGCAAGATGTAGTTTCTGGTTCCTGACTTTGGTCTGGCCTATCCCTGGCTGTTGCAGGCAATTGAGGAATGAACCAGTGTCTGGAAGACCTCTCTTTGACAGATTTATTGACTAATATAATTTTTCACATTTCCCTTGTCTAGTCTTTCTACCTTTTAAATATCAATTGAGTCGCTGTTTAACAACCAGAGGAAAAAAAACACTTTTGAACATAAATTTTCTGTTTCTGGCCCTGTGGTACAGTGGGTTAAGCTACTGCTTGCAACATTAGCATCCCATGTGAGCGCAGGTTCAAGTCCCAGCTGCTCCACTTCCAATCTATTTTCCTGCTATTGTTCCTGGGAAAGCATCAGAAGATGACCCAAATGATAGGGCCCCTGCCACCTACAAAGAAAACTGGGTGGAGTTCCAGGCTCCTGATTTCAGCCCGGCCCAACAACCCAGCCATTATGGCTATTAGGGGAGTGAACCAGTGAATGAAAGATCTCTATCTATCTCTGTGTGTAACTCTGCCTTTCAAATAAGCAAACAACTCTTTAATAAATAAATTTTCATTCAACATTATATTTGTCATCAACTGTATCATAGAATAAGAAACAAACATACACTGTGTGACCTGTGAGAACCAAATGCTTGTTTCCCACCATCTATACCTGAGACCTTGAGAGATTTTCACTTTCCACACGCTAAGGAAAAGCACATAACTTTATACTCTATCTGCTTCATGTGAGAGTTTAAGGTGAAAAACTTAAAACAAGGGCTGACATGGCCCAGTGGGTAAGCCGTGGCTGGTGACATTGGAATCCCATATCAGACCACAGGATTGAGTCCTGGCTACACACATTCCAGCCCAGCTCCCTGCTAAATCAGCTGGGAAGATATCAGAAGATGACTCAAGTACTTGAAGCCCTGCCATCCACACGGCAGAACTGGATGAAATTCCCAGCTCCTGGCTTCATCCTGGCCTAGACCCAGATGTTGAAGGCATTTGGGCAGTGAACCAGTGAGTGGAAGATATCACGCTCTCTCTCGCTTTCTCTCTCCTTTTTCTCTGTCACTCTTTCAAGTAAATTAATCAATAAATGTTTTTAAAATGTTAAAATAAGATAATCAGAAAAAAGGAAAATTTGCCTAAGTATAAGGATGTTGCTCCCATAAAGCATAGTCATATTAGAAAAGTGAAATAAAAATTTAAACATCAAAATTAATTTTTATATAATAAAATATATTTATTTAGAAACTTATGCTAATGTACTCTATCCTGAAGAAGTAATTCAATATTTAGATGTTTTAAAGGTTAATTCCAGAAAATCACATCACTGTGATATTTATATTAGTTAAAATAAGGAAGCAAACAACACTTCAAATGTTACTGTTGCCCAAAATCCTTACAACTAAGTATAACCAATAAATAATGAATATTAAATTGCGCTGGTAGAGTAGAAACATAATTATGCAGAATTCTGTGTGAAAGGTATACTAGTACTCAAATAGTATTTTACACTTAGTGTTTCTGTGTGGAAGCAAAATGCGGAAATCTTTACTTAATATACGCTAAATTGATCTTCTGTATCTAAAGATAATTGAAAATTAATCTTGATGTGAAGGGAAGGGGAGAGGGAGTGGGAGAGGGGAGCATTGTGGGTGGGAGGGAAGTTACAGGGGGGAGGAAGCTATTGTAATCCATAAGCTGTACTTTGGAAATTTATGATCATTAAATAAAAAAAGGTATACTTTACATATGTGATGATGGCAGGAGTAATTTTTAAAATCAAATTTAAAAAATCACAAACTCAGAAGACTTGATGATTGAATTATCTTTATTTCTCAAATGATTTGCTATATTTTATTATCTCAAAAAGAATAAATGTGACATGTTAAAAACTTTATACAAAGTCTATTTATTCCCTCGAGCTACTTTAAGATTATAGTGAACATTGTCTAACTTTTGTCAAGATTCATATTCATAGAATATTCTGAGGTAGAGATTATAGTTGTGTGCATTTAATTAAAGACATTTTGCAGACTTTATTTTAAACTGTGGAGTAGGGGAAGGCACCCGCATTCCACGTCAGAGCGTCTGGCTCTGATGCCGGCTTCTTGTCAATAAACATCCTGGGAGGCAGCAGGTGATTGCTCAAGTCCTTGGGCCTCTGCCACCCAGGTTGGCAATTCGGATTGAGTTCTTTTTCTTTTTAAGATTTATTTATTTGCTTGAAAGTCAGAGTTACATAGAGAGAGAAGGTGAGGCAGAGAGAGAGAGAGGTCTTCCATCCGCTGGTTCACTCCCCAATTGGCCGCAACGGCCAGAGCTGCGCCGATCCCATGCTAGGATCCAGGAGCTTCTTCTGGGTCTCCCACGTGGGTGCAGGGGCCCAAGGACTTGGGCCATCTTCCACTGCTTTCCCAGGTCATAGCAGAGAACTGAATCAGAAGTGGAGCAGCCGGTCTCAAATTGGTGCCCATATGGGATGCTGGCGCTTCAGGCCAGGGTTTTAACCCGCTGTGCCACAGCCCGGGCCCCATGGATTGAGTTCTATGCTGGCCCAGTCCTGGCTGCTTGTGAGTATTTTGGGAGTGAACTGGCAGATGGAAGATCTATTTCTCATATCTCTCTCTCCTACCCCCTCTCATAAATAAATAAAAAAAAATTTTTTTAATTCGAAACTTGGAGTAAAGCAATAGCAATGAAAATAAGAATATCACAAACCTCGATGTTCAAAACAAGCAGTGCCCTTGGCTCGAGATGCTGCAGGTGATCTATGTTGCTGGAGCGGAGACTGAACGCGCAGCTCAGAGTACGTCACCCTTTCTTCTTCCATGTCTGAAAAGCAGCAATGAACTTAAGGTAACACAAGAGCTTTGTTTTAAATTCACGGACTATGGAAAAGCCTCAACTAAAATAGACTACCAAAGGAGTTTGTTCTTATCTAAACTTAATAAAAGACCTGGATTTTCTTTCAAAGTAAAAAAAAATGTTGTTAAGAATAGAGGATCACGGAAGTAAACTTTTTTTACTTACAAAGTGGTAACACATGTTGAGTTATCCAATAGCTACTGCATAATGAATAAAAGTTGTTTTTTTTTTTTTTTTTTGACAGGCAGAGTGGACAGTGAGAGAGAGAGACAGAGAGAAAGGTCTTCCTTTTTCCATTGGTTCACCCTCCAATGGCCGCCACGGCCGGCGCGCTGCGGCCGGCACACCGCGCTGATCCGATGGCAGGAGCCAGGAGCCAGGTGCTTTTCCTGGTCTCCCATGGGGTGCAGGGCCCAAGCACCTGGGCCATCCTCCACTGCACTCCCTGGCCACAGCAGAGACAGAATCCGGCGCCCCAACCGGGACTAGAACCCGGTGTGCCGGCGCCGCTAGGCGGAGGATTAGCCTAGTGAGCCGCGGCGCCGGCTTAATGAATAAAAGTTTTTAAACATCCTTATATGAGGACCCTCCCCAGTTCACCTGATCTACGCCTCTGCAGCCCTTATGTCCCACAGCATCTACTTGTACCCTCAAACTCACCTCACTGCTCTCTTCACTTAGGATCTCCCTTCTTCCAGGAAATCTCTTCTTGTTGCTGTATTCTATGTTGTCCCATCTGCATCAGGAAGTTCTATAAAATGCAGCTGAAGTCCTAACTTGCTTAGAAAATTTTCACAAACATTTCAGTAAGAATGCCTGTCTTCTTCAGTAATCCCACCTTGCTGCTCACATTTCTCTTTCAACCAGTCTCCCCTTCTTCTTTAGTGCTGCTATCCCTTCTCTCTGACCCATTCTTAGGGCACAAGTCAGATCTGAATGATTTCGCTATTGCCACAACTATTTCTTAGGTCAATTGCTGAACTCTAGGATTCTAACAACCTGCGTTTTACACCAGATTCAATATTTTATAAATTAAATTTATTATATCTCAGAAGGAAATCTAAAAATGTTTCAGAGGAAGCCTTGAGAATAATTTGATGCCTAGAAAGTCCACATGTATAGGAGTTAATGTATTCCTTAAACTGCAAATCAACTAGTCCGTTTTCTGAACTTTTTCCCGATAGAACTTATAATTTGTTTATATTCTACAAATATATTTCCACAAACATAAATAACTAATTTTCAATTTTTTCTAATGAAGGTATTTCTGTAGTTTGTTATAAGGAAGTGCAATATAGTGGAGTCTGTATTTTATCATATATTTTTCTATTGATTCTCTTTCTTAATCCATACTTTCTTATTTCTAAATCTAACTTCTCGTTATCTAAATTATATTAATTCAATTTTAGTGAAAAATTTTTAAATACTAATCTTTGAATAAACTAGTATCTTGAAAATTAGAAGTACCTTGTTTTCAGAGGAAGGCGGCAGGATCTTTGCAGAATATGTATCTTCTAGAAAAAAAAAAAGTGTTCCTAATGCCTGGGACAAAAGCCTGCACTTTAGAATGCCTGATGATTTTTGATATAAAATAAAATGACTTCAAAGATGAAGCAATAAGTGAAAGCTGTCCCAGATGAGAAATTAACAGATGCACGTGGAATGCAAGAATAAGAGCTCTCTGGATACAACCACGCAGGAAGCCCCGACATCTGAAAATATCACCAGGGCTGGGGACTTCCACCAGTCTGACCATTAGTCACTATAAATATCTGCTATATGTGCAGTAATGATCAATATGTTTCACTCAATCACTGAGTTTTTAGACTTCATGAGTGCAGGTATTGTCTATTGAGAATGTAGGTCCCCTTCATTGTCACCCCTTTTTTAGTTCCCCACAGTACACTGCTAAACATCACATTATGATTTTAGTTGGTGTGCTAGAAGGTAGGGCATTAAAATTAACGTTGTTGCTGTCACTTTTTTGGTCTCTCCTCTCCAAAACAAATGTGAAAAACATATGTAGCATCACTAACACAATTTCAACAGAATTTAATATTTCTATCTTTTCAATGCAACTCTGAGTTATCTGTCCAAAGAAAATGCACCTTTGTTATCTACCTTTCTCTCATTAAAAAAAATTATTTATTTGAAAGGCAAAGAGAAAAAGACACACACAAACAGACAAATAGACAGTTTCTATCTGTTGGTTGACTCCCCAAAGCTCACAATGGTTGGAGTTGGGCCAAAGCTGAAGTTAAGAACTGGGAACACATGTAGGTGGCAGGGACCCAACGATCTGAGCAATCAGTACTTCCCCCCAGGCTCTGAATTGGCAGGAAGCTCAAGTCAGGAGCCAGAGGAGAGAACTGTTCCCAGGTACTCAATTGTGGCACTTGGTCTTCTTAGGCACTAAATAAATACTTACTCCCCTCAGCTTTAAGTGCACCTTAAGATTGTCAGATAGCCTCTCATGTTTGCTGTATAAATTACTGTTCAGTTTATAGTTTAATATTCGATCATATAAAACATTTTATTTACCATATTGCTAGTTTCATGCATTATTTCTTTTCAAATGTATAAATAGTAATTTAAATGCTACTATATATTATAGCATCTTTTTTCTGCCTGAACTGTCACTATCACACTCAACATACTTAATTCTATATTTATGTGTGTGTGATGTTTGTGTTAATTTTCATATGTATATATACATATATCACATATAAATATATATACATATTTAAGTATTTTTGTATTGTATTCTTTAACACTTACCCGTCTATTGCTTGCCATCTCCAGAGTGAATTTTTGATATAAATAAACACAGTGTTAATTCCCAATCAGTTGTATTTTCTTTTCATGTTCCTTATTTTGTATCATTTTCTAGGTGTTCTTTTTTTATAATTTGGTTTAATGATCTTAACTGATTTTTTAAAGGTTTATTCATTCATTTAAAAGGTAGAGTTACAGAGAGGCGAGGCAAAAAGAGAGAAAGAGGTCTTCCATATGCTGGTTCACTCCCCAGAAGGCTGCAATGGCTGGCGCTTCTTCAGGGTCTCCCACATGGGTGCAGGGGCCCAAGCATTTGGGCCATCTTCTACTGCTTTCCCAAGCCATAGCAGACAGCTGGATCAGAAGTGGAGCAACTGGAACTCAAACCGGTGCCTATATGGGGTGTTGGCACTGCAGGCGGCAGCTTTACCCACTATGCCACAGCACCAGCCCTTCCAGGTATTCTTGAAGAAGAAATAAACAGGGGTCGGGCAAGATGGTGGAATAGGAAGGGAGTACACTGATAGTCCCAGAAGAGACAGTTTTAAGTGGAGATAATGTAGGTTCAAGGAAGACTTGGGGAAGAAACAGCAGAGGAAACTCTTCCAGAACTAGTGATTCATGGTGGACCTGCATGGAGGGCGCAGGAGCCCATGGCTCAGGACACCAGCCATGGAATCTATGCACCAGAGCTGGAATGCAAAGTGAGCTGAACCTCAGTAGCCCGAGACCCCAGTGGGAAAGCTGAAGGAGGAGCCTAGAGGGAACAAGGCTTGAAGCCCCATGGGGGAAAGTTCACCAGGCTAACTAGAGAAGAGAGAGAAAAAAAGGAACCAGTATGGACATGAGTCTCTCTCTCTCCACTCACTTCTCAAAGGCGAGCAAGACAAAGAGCAAGCACCATTTTGGACATACGTAAAAGCTGTGCAACCTCAGGGCTGCGCCCGCCCTCAGCTTAGCAGAAAAACCTGACTCTGGGGGGTGGGGGGATGTGAAATAACAGGTGGTTAGGACATAGTGAATGTGTGGAGCTAATGAACTGAGACTGTGAAAAAAGAGACGGTGGGTGAGAGAACTCATGGAATTCACATGAGTACTCTCCAGAGACACTACAATTTGGTAACCTTGGCAACCCAGTGGAAGACTACAGGAGAATTTGAACCCACACCGAGGGCAGAACAGATTCCCTGTGTGGTCCTTGGGAAAGAGCAGGCGAATATTACACCCACAGGAGCCAGAGATCAGAAGCTGACTACCTTCAATTCCGCTCAGCTGTGTGGAATTACTTCCCTTCTGAATCAGAGAGAGAGAGAGAGAGAGAGAGAGAGAGATTTACCATGCCTAACATGGGTGTGTCACCTTTGGCACATCCTTAACCCTGAAGAACCAAACAAAGCTCTCTGGCCACACCCATCTCAAGCCTCTAAGGCTCCATCAAAAGCAGACAGTCCACTTAATACAGTCATAGTATAACAAGAAAAAACCACCACAGCGAGGGAAGAAGAATCCAAAGAATATCTCCACAATGCCAAGCAACAAATGCAGAAACCAAGGAAACAAGAACAAGGAAGACATTATGACGCCCCCAAATGAACAAGACATCCCAAGCCAAGATTATGAAGATGATGACATAGAAGAAATGCAAGATACAGATTTCAAAAAATTTATAAGAACATTTAGAAGTTTTCAAAAACAAATTCTTGAACTACAGAAATCCTTACTGGAAAGGATAGAAAATCTCTCTCATTAAAATGAAACCTTAAGGAGGAATCAAAATGAAACGCAGAAACTAGTAGAACAAGAAAGTGTGATAGTGAAAAGAAATCAAAATGAAATGAAGAACTCAACAGATCAAATGACAAACACATTAGAGAGCCTTTAAAACAGAGTCAGTGAAACAGAAGAGAGAATATCAGACTTAAAAGACAGAGAACAGGAAAGTATACAGTCAAACCAAAGAAAAGAAGAGGAAATTAGAAATCTAAAAAATATTGTTGGGAATCTACAGGATACTATTAAAAACCTAACATTCGGGTTCTAGGAGTTCCTGAAGGCATGGAGAGAGAAAGGATTAGAAGGCCTTTTTACATGGAAAGCCATGACACTCTGTCAAAAAAAAAAAAATGACCTAAATGAAAGATCTCCGCGAGTGAGATCCCGGTGGAAAGAACAGGTCATCAAAGAAGGAGG